GGCACTAGAACACCTGGTATCCGTATATAAAAAATTAACCGCAACCCTTTATTTCCATACATAAAAATAACTTGAAAGGATCTATGAACCTAAAAAAATATGCATTTCTTTTGATCAAGGAATGCTTTCTCTTGGTATTTATTCTGAGAGGGAAAATCAGTAATGAGGATAAAACATTTGTACAAGGTTATTCATTACATATTATTGAAGAATAATGAGAAACTAGAAGTAATGTAAGCATTCAGTTTTAACAGATTAGTTAAACAATGTAGTGTACCAATTCTGTGAAATACCATGCAGCCATTATAAAACATTTTGTGGAATGACATTTCTTAGAATGAGAATATGTTCTGATAAATTGCTGTATTGTCACTCTTAACAATATCACAAGATGACTTAGGTAGGTCTTCTGCTTTAGGGACTCACAAGGCTGCAGTCAGTTGTCATTTGGCGCTGTGGTCTCATCTGAGGCTCCACTTGGGGTGGACATACTTTCAAATTCATGTACTGTAGTTGTTGGCAACAACAATTGGGTTTTGTACTTAGCAATTCCTTTGTTGATATATGAAGAAATGTCAATTTTCATCCTGGGTATCATTCATATTTCCTTTCAATGTGTAGGTTGGACAAGATGCTCCTAATTCATCTAACTCAAGGAAAGCCACAGAGATCACTATAATCCACTAGACATACTTCTGAAAAGTTCTCCTTTGCCTCAGCCATTGAATAAATACACTACCTTCTCCCTAATATTAATCAATATGGGAAGATTCTCTTTTATGTGTGGTACTTGGGGTTGAACCCAGAGCCTTTGCACTGAGCTACATCCCCAGCCCTTTTTAATTTTAAGACCAAGTCTTGCTAAGTTGCTCATGCTGGGCTTGAACTTGTGATTCTCCTGGCTCAACCTCCCAGAGGGCAAGGATTACAAGCATGTGACAGCATGCTCAATTAAATTTTTTTTTAGTGGTAGTGCAGGGAATTGAACCCAGTGCTTTGTTCACGCTATGCAAGCACTCTACCACTGTGCTATATCCTGGTGAATATTCCTCCCAATGTTACACTCATATCTTCATCCAGGCACTAACATCAATAAAGCCAGAACAATGAAGGAAAAGCCTTCATACCACTGCTACTGATGTGGCCACAGGCCTCTGTGATTAACTTTGTACATCCATGAAAATGGTTGTCTTTCCATTCCATCAAATGAAAATTCCAAGCACTATGAACAGACCTTACTGCTCTGACAGAAGACTTAAGTGCAGCCTCCAAAAAGTGGACAAGGCAGCTGGTTGTGACACATCCCAACTCCTATGCTACCCTCACAGATGACTTCATACTCACAGTTGCCTTCACTTTGTGGCTGTCACCTAGCTTACATGGGGTACCTGCCCCCGCCCAGGGTGACATTTGTAGGGTTTTAGGATTTAGCCTCTGCCACCACATGTAGCTGTCGATGCACTGGGGACAGGAACCCAACCCCAAGCATTCCAAAGTCCTCCTCAGAAGTCATCACTAAGGGGTCAGGGCTGCAGACAACACTCTAGCGAAGTCTCCCAAGGATCCAGAGTTCCATGGCAGGTCCGATACTATGTCTTATTTTAATAGTGAGCAACATACAGTTTGGAGCATCAGGGTTTCAGAGTGAAATGATTATGATGATGAGTTTTCTCACAGGGCACAGCTATGAAGAAAGCCTAATCTGCCTAAATAAAAGTCTGCTGAGAAAATGGAAACAGTTGATCTTGAAGCAGTGCTTTGTTGAAAAGGAGAAAGGCAGGGTGTCCCCTTGTTGCTTTTCCAAAGATTCTGAAACCACTTCATTTTAGTGAAATAAACCTGTAATAGTGAAGCAATTCTATTTTCTTGCAGAAACCATACACAAATTGTGCCCTTTTTTCTTTCATTTCAAGTACTGTCTAAAACAGTGATTCTCAAAACTCTGTTAAGCAGAGGAACAAACTGAGTCTGGAAGAGACAATAGACACAAAGCATGGGTGATGATGACAGGAAGAACCTCTGAAGACAGGCATGGTGGTGCACGCCTATAATCCCAGCCCTTGGGAGTCTGAGGCAGGAGGATTGCCACAAGTTCGAGGACAGACTGGGCTACGTAGTTAGACATATCTTTTTTTTTTGTATTAAATTCTTTTATTGGTACATTGTAGGTATACAACACAATTACATTTCTCATTAGGAATTGTACCTTTATATAATGCATCTTGGTTCTTATTTTTTCCCCATTCCTAGCCCTCCCTTTATGCCTCCACCCTTCCCTATTT